AGAGGGGAGGGGGCAGTGGAAGGGGTTGCGGGCGGTGACGTCAGCTACCGCTGGCTCAGATCGGTCCGGGGAAAGGGGTAGGGGTATAGAGAGAGGTCACTCACGCACGGCCGCGGTCCAGGCCCAGGCCCAGGCCCAGGTCCGCGGGTCCGGTACCGATGGCGCCTTGTACGGAGCCCAGCCCCAGCGGAGCCGCGCGCAGGCTGCCTATAAATCATCTCTCAATGAGGCTGATTGTGGGGCCGTTAACAGGGTACAGAGCGGCCGCGCAACGGCCGGACAGTGTCACGGGCGCCTCCTCCGTCCCGCTGGCGGCCGCCCCGTGACCAAAGAGGGTGCGGCGGCGGCAGCGCCGTACAAGGAGGAGGCGGGTCACGCGGGCCATGAGCGGGAGCGGGCCGCGCGCGCGGGGGAGGGGAGGTGGGGTGATGCCATGTGTCTCGCACCACTTGAGATTCCAACCAGATCCCTTTGGGGGGCAGTTGCATTAGAGGCCGTGCAAACCCTGCTGCTTGCTTTCAACGCCAATGACGGAAACATTTAAGCACAACGTTAAAAAAAATCACAAGAAACGATTTGGAGCCCACAGGTAGACGGGTTAGAGCAACCACCGAGAGGTAACTGGGGAAAGAACATCGTTCCGGCGCCGATAGGTGGCCTTGTCGACTTCTGTTCGATGCCGTGGCCTGTCGTCCACATACCAGCGACGCGGTGAGCCTGGCCCTGGCCCGCGGGCGGCGGCGGCGCTGCTGGCACCACCCTGAGCAGAGTGCGGCCGCACATGACTGACTGCCAGGATGGATCAGATGATTCCTGCGACCCCGCTGCCGCCGCGCGCCCGCAGCCCCCCCCCCCTCCCCTCCTCCAGCTGCTTTACGTAAGCCCGACGGAGCTATTACTCCCCCACCACCACCTCAATCACAGTGTCGAAGACGACGGGCGAGGCGAGAACCGCAATTAGGCATGCAGTGCGGCACGGACCTGCCGCACATCCTGCACGTGCACAACACGCCCTGCATTTCAGCGCGTCCGGCAGGCATGTGCACAACGAGGAAGGTCCTCTAGACGACGCCCAGCGCGCATCTGCATGTGCACAACACGTACGTCCTGCACACCAGCGCATCTAGTAGGCCCAATGAATGAAATCGTGTGATAAACTCATGGCAAAGTGTCATCGAGAGTTTCCTATAGGAATGAAGTCGGCAGTGCCAACCAATTCTTTGGGCTGCCCTGTGACGCCAACGAACAAGCAAACAAACGAATGACGGGGCGGGCGGGTGCAGACGGGCGGAAGAAAACTAAATAGATCAGCAGTATTAGTCGCTGATGAAGCCAGCGGTCACGGGGCGGAGGGAGAGGGGGGGGGGGTGGCGCCGTCGTAGACTCGCCAAGAGCAGCAGAGAAGAGAGCTCCGCAGGTACAGTTGGGTACAGTAGCGGCCCGGCCTCTCGAACGACTAATTACTCCCTCCGAGCGTGCCGTGCCGCGGCCCGGCCCGGCCCCGCCCCAGACAGATAACTCGGACGAGGCGAATCATTTCTATACTCAAAATACTTGAGGCAGCCCCGCCCCGCCCCGCCCCGCCCGTCGCAGAGATTCTTGTCAGGGAAGGCCCGATTCTCCATCTTTCTTCCTCTTTCTTGTGTTTTTTCCTTTCGCTTGTCCACACACGCCACAACACGAAGGGGTAAACATGGCCTTCGCGGTGCCGCGCCGTGGCTCTGCCCGCCCCGTGCCCCGAGGCGCCTTGTCATGCCTTGCCGGGCGCGCGGCACACAGACACACAGACCAGTCGCCCTCAGCTAGACCCCAGCTGCCAAACAGTCGCCACATGTGCCAGCGCCAGCACGACCCAGCAGGGCGGGGACGGGCGCGGCGCCGCGGGGCGGGGCGACCAGGATGCCATCATCAATAATTTCCCCCCGTGATTATCACATACAGGATGGCCGGCCGAGAAGACGAGTTTAGTCCGCGCGGCTGACAGACGCGCGCCGCGCCACGCCAAAGCCACCAGTACTTCCTCCCGCGGCTCCGCGCGGAAGAAAAGCGGAGGAAACGCGAAGAGGAGGAAAAGCCCCGCCACACTCCGCCGCGCCCCGCCGCGCCCCGCCGCGCCCCGCCGCGCCCCGCCGCGCCCCGGCCGCGAGGACCAAAGCGCGCGTACGTACTTGACGCAGCTCGAGCGGCGGGCGCACACAAACTCGACACCGGAACGTCGTTCTATTTCGGCAGCGCAAGCAAAATATCGCCGACTCCGACGACCGGGGGGGAAAAGACCATCGAGTCAAAACGAAAAGTGAAAATAGAGTGAGACAACATTCTACAGATAAAAATCGCTTGGAAAATAAAAATAAAAAAGAGAGAAGGGGCACAAAGAACACACAGGTTTGGCATGTGGCTGGCAAGCGCGTCATAGACCAGTGTGAAACACATTTGGAGTTTCTAAATGTCACACGATTTTTACTGCAGAATAGATAAAAAACAAACAAGGGACGATGGCAGATATGGTGTGAGAAGGGCGTAGGTTGAGGGGGAGGGGTAGAGACGGGCGACTGCTATGGTGCGTCCAAAATAAAAAAACAATCGACCAATACTCAATGATCACATCGCATAGTCCGCATAGCTTCAAGATAATAATGTGACGGCCGGCAGAGGGGTAGAGGGGAGGGGGCAGTGGAAGGGGTTGCGGGCGGTGACGTCAGCTACCGCTGGCTCAGATCGGTCCGGGGAAAGGGGTAGGGGTATAGAGAGAGAGGAATAAAGGGAGGAGGGGGGGGGGCACGGGGGAGAGGGAGGAAGGGGTAGAGGGGCGACGCAATGCCCTATTCCGCCCACGCACGCAGCGACTCGCACAGCGGGCGCAGCGCGCGCAGGGTCGGCCACGCCAGCACCCCGCCCCACACCACACCACCCCGCCCCGCCCCGCGACCCCCGCGTCCCGCGTGCGTCGTCGTCGTCGTCCCCCGTTGTGTCATCCATACATTTGGGGTTCGAGGAACCGGCCACGCCAAACAGCGACGCCGCCCTCTTCTAATTCTGTCATCTCTGCAGGCGGACACCGGCCTGCCCCGCCCCGCCCCGCCCCGGCGCTGTCCTGTTGTGCACACGCACGATGCACGTGCACGACGCACGCGCGGCCCACGCCACGACGCCTCGCGGGGTGGCGCCAGGCGAGGCGCCGGCCCCCGCCTGTCCAACAACATCCTGCCTGCGCGGCGTCCACCACCGCTCCTTGTAGCGAGCACCTTGCCGCTGCTCCCCCCCTCCCCCACCCACCCTTTGCGCTTCCACTTCCGCTACCAACCCCCCAGCTCCGGAGCACACCTTCACCACCCCAATATTACCTACACTTTGCCCGGGTAACAGAGATTTCCCAGCGGACCGACAACAAGTGGCGTGTGCCGGCCGTGCCCTGGCGGGGCCGCCTGGCACAATGTTGCGAGCTGCGAGCACTTCTGTTATTGTGAAAAGGTTTATGGCACACAAAGGCTTTTCCTTCGTGGTTACACAACCGCAATCGACTTAATCATTCTAAAAATGTCGCAAAATAATAATATAATAAACCCCCCGTTGCCCCGTTCGAGAATATGATGAGATAACAATACTACCATGAAACAATCCAAATTCAACAATAAAAATTTATTGACAATATTACTCGAGTAGAAATACGGAAATTTCCGCTATTGCCGGCGACTGTCGTCACGACTATAGCTTAAACACGAAGTTAGTCATTACCTACAACGATAAGAACAAATGCTAAGTCAAATCAACGTCCGTACAAAATTTAAAGTACAGCACGTTAACTAAATGCTCGAACATTTTTGAGCAATGACGTATGGTTCAATTATTGACTTGTGCGGCGAGGCGAGCCAAGAAGGGAGTGTGACAAATGCAGCCCGTGCAGTGCACGCCCCGCGGAATACCGCGCGCCGCTGCATCCACGAACGGTGACGAGCGGAGCGGAGCGGCCAGTTCCCTTTCATTCCGGTCGTAAACATGCGGCGTGCCTCTCTTAGTCACCGCGGGCGCGCGAGGGTCGCCCCGGCCCCCGGGTGTCCCCGCAGCATGAGCGCCCCCACTCGCGCGCACGCACGCTCACGCGGATAAGCACGAGTTGACAGATGTGCTCCTACTTCCCAAGGGTGGTGGTGGTGGTGGTTGGTGGTGGCCCTGACGCGGTGGTGGCGGCGCCGCGGGGGGCAAGGTCGCGTGCGGCCCATAACGCGCGCGCCCATAGGCCGGCCCGGCCAGGGCGACGTCACGTCGGCCGCGACGAACAAAGGGCGCCCTGTCCCGGGCGGCACGGCGGCCTAGGGCCCACGCCCCAGGGCCGCGGGCCCCGGAGCCGGGCAGCATTGTGACGAGGTTGGCGTGCTCGCCTGTTGCACTGTACACCCGCTGGTCGCGCTGGTCGCGCTGGTCGCCGCCGCGGGGCCGGTCCCGCAGCTGCGTGCCGCTAACCCTCGCTATTAATAGGGGCGGGCGCGCGCTACGACTCCACCGCGACGCTCGGCGCCCGCCACGGCGCCCGGGGACCCGACGGCGACCCGACGGGGACGGGAGGGGACGACGGCCCTGACCTGAGAGGTACCG